TAAAATTATGTCATCGAGGCTTTCTAAAAGTAGATCCTTTTGAAAACTGGCACTTACTCAAATGTACATTCCCCAATAAGACTAACATCAGTATTTTTGAAGATTGTTTCTATGCCCTGGTTTTTGTTTTGTTTTTTGAAGTCCTGATGTAAGCTACAAACCTAATACCATTATTTGTATGTAAAATTTAAACTGCTGTGAAGCACCAAGTTCCAGTTTTGTCGTTCAGAAACCTTTTCAGTCAATACTTATAATCCAGGGTTTCCCAGATGGTGCCAGTGGTAAAGAACCCTCCTGCCAATGCTGGAGACCTAAGAGACTCAGGTTGAATCCCTGGGTCCAGAAGATCCCCTGGAGAAGGAAATGGTAACCCACTCTAGCATTCTTGCCTGGAAAATCCATGGACAGAGGAGCTTGGCAAGCTGCGGTCCAGCAGGCCACAAAGAGTTGGATACGACTGAACAACTTAGCACATAGCGTGTATCTGATAATTAAGACATTGAGAAATTTTTTTTATCACAGATTTTTGCCAGTGCTGTGCCTTATCCTTGAGTTGGCCTAATGTTTTATATAAAAGTACTATATAATAATAGAGAAATCACTGTATGTCAAAGTTTGAGGAAAATTCAAAAGCCATTGTGTTAAAAGTCCTAACATGACCCTTTTATCATTCCCAGCCCTTGTGTGAATACCTCAATTGCATATTCTTTCATGTGAGAGTCCCTTGTTTGTGTAATTCTAATTACTTGAAAGTCCAGATATGCCCTCTTACCCAAGACGTTTACCCTCTGTTTTATTTATACATTAAAAGGAAAAGCTCCTTAGTATAATTAGCCCAGTTTAAAAGTAACTGGTATAAATAACATTAGACCATTTAGATGATTAGAGCAATAGGTGACGTTGCATTTAAAAATCCTGTTGTTAGGCCCCTATTCCACATAGCAACACTGCAGAGTGAAGTGAACATTGCTTTTTAAGGTGAGGATTTAGGAATTTCAAGCATAAGGCAAAAAGAAACATTTCATATATGAAGAACCCATAAATGAAATCCTGTCTTCGTTTTTCCCATAAGTACATTTCTTAATTGCATGCTTACTCTGCATCAGAATGTGTTCTCAGCTTTTAGGGGGTCCTGATGGGGGAAAGAGATCAATATCAGTAAGCATACAAGTACAAATATACTTTTTATGGTTAAATTCTATGTCTAATTAAAGCTTTCACTAGAAAAGTAGTGTTGCTCTTATAACTGTTTGTGAGGCAGCATAACATAGTGGTTAATAGCTCAGACTACTTGAATTTGAATCCTAGATTCACCTCTTACTAGCGTGTAACCTTTCACAACTTGCTTTACTCAGTTTTCTTATGTGTAAAATGGAGAAAATAAGAGTACCTACCTCATAGGGTACTTATATTATGTGGGTTAATGTAAGTAAAACACCAAAAGCAACATTTGTTTACTACACAAATATTTCCTATTATTATCAATAATCTAAATCGAAAGAACTTTAGCTTACAAAGTAAGAAGATAATGTTTGAGTAAGTATTGAAAGAATTTTTCTCTGGGGAAAAAATCGAGCAAGATAGGACCTAGGTATACATAGAATAGTTGTGGAAAAGGAAAAAGCAGCAGAGATGACATGCTAAATGTTTATTTTTACCTTGAATTTACAGAGAAATAAAACCTTGAAATCAGTGTTCCAACTCACCATTTTATAATCTACTCACATAAAATGAACAGAGGCTGGCATACCAGGATAGTTCTATAAAATATATGCTAAGACATTGACAAGAAAACATCATTAAATATTTAGCAAATATTAACATAAAATACTAAAAGTGTGTTTATCTAGAGAAATAGTTTCAGGAATGATGATTTCAGAAATTTCCTTTCTTATTGTCTGAAATCAAGAATGTGAATTCATCTTCCTTTATTAGATCTTCATCCATGAAACAGACTTAATGTCGCTTTTCAGACAAAATGTAATATGATGACTTACATCTGTCAAGTCTTCTGAGCTTCTTAGAATTATATAACTGAATTAGAGCAGAATATGGAGAAGGCCATGGCAGCCCACTCCAGTACTCTTGTCTGGAAAATCCCATGGACGGAGGAGCATGGTAGGCTGTAGTCCATGGAGTCACTATGAGTCGGGCATGACTAAGCGACTTCACTTTGACTTTTCACTTTCACGCATTGGAGATGGAAATGGCAACCCACTCCAGTGTTCTTCCCTGGAGAATCCCAGGGACGGTGGAGCCTGGTGGGCTGCCGTCTATGGGGTCGCACAGAGTCGGACACGACTGAAGCGACTTAGCACCAGTAGCAGCAGCAGGGTAGAATATCTGTGACTTGGTGTTATTGCCATGCCTAAAAGGAAACTGGCAGGGAGTAAGAAAATGGACTCAAATAACTAAATAAATTTTTGCAATTATTCTGGTAATTTTACGAGTATTATTTCCTCATACTGGAACTTGGGAAGACCATGGCTGCTATTAAAGACTGGCAGGCGAATATCCAACAGAGGGAGTAACCATTTCAGAAAACCTTAATAACAGGCACACAACTGAGAATTTACAGGAAGAATCCAAGTTCCTTTAAAAGGTGCTGAGAAGATAGAAGCAGTAAAGTTGTTGGAAGTATGACATTTGAGAATGAATTGTTACCAGTTTCTCAGAGAGAGAGAAACAGACATCAAATATCAAAGGCAACAATGCAGAAGAAGCAATTGATTGTGCTGGAAGGACCAATTAATAAGAGACAATATATTATAATGTTCTGTGAAGATAGCATTATAGTGATGAATGTCATTAGGGTAATTTAAGTGTTTGTCCCCCACCTCTTCACTCCTTCCTGTAAGTTTGATTGCAGCATATGATATGTTACTCTTGCATGTAATAATCCTCAGGGTGAAACTTTATAAGAGGAGAAGAAAGGTCAGTTTTTATTAGAAGGTGATTTTCAATAGTTTTAAAATTTTTTTTAATGCTTTTAAATGCTTTTCTACAAATTTGAAGCAATGACAAAATAACTTAGTTTTGAATATTGTATAAAAATGGGACTTCCCTGGTGGTCCAGTGGTTAAGACTCCCCACTTCCAATGCAGGGGGCACGGATTAGATCCTTGTTCGGGGAACTAAGACCCCACATGCTGTGCAGCATGGCCATAAAAAAATGCGATCTTATCATAATGTTTCTCACACTCTCAAAGATTCAACACTGTAATTTATAGGAGACCTAAATTATAAAAGAGGACACTTTAGTATAACCCTATCGATGAGATTCAAAGAGATTCACATTATACTAATTTCCCATTGTTGTTAAACGTGATATTTAGAGGTTTGGCTAATTATGTGATATGCATACTTTGATATGAGTTCTATTTGTGGGTCCCATTTATTTCCCTTTCTCATATATTTCCTTTTTAATATTTTTCAAGGCTTACATATACTGTATCCTGTCCCTTAAGATGGGACTGCTCTGTGGGGTGATGAATGAATATCACCATCAGTATTAAATATTAATAATTAGAGGAATGAGAGATCTGCTTTTATATAATACTGAAAGCCAATCCTAATATAAATGCACCTTCCCTCATGGGTGTATCTTGTGAAATAGTAGCAGCAATATTAAAAATAATGCTCTAGTTTAACATTGTTCAAACTTCAGTTGTTACTGTTTGCCTTCTGAATATAAGATACCTTAGAAGAGGGATCGGCAAACTTATTCTTTAGAGGAAGTAAATATTTAGAGTTAATAAATATTTTAGGCTTTGTGAGCTTTATAGTCTCTATCATAACAACTTAACTATGCCAGCCTGTCACAGAAGCTGCTATATGATGATATCAATAAATGGGCCCTGCTCTACTTTATTTATGGACGCTACAACTTTACTAATGGACGCTAAAATTGGCTTTCTCATAATTTTCACATGTCATGAAGTATTACTCTTCTTTTGAGTTTTTTTTAAATCATCTAAACATTTGAAGATTACCATTAGATTGCAGGGCATGCAAAAAAACAAGTGGCAGGCAAGATTTCTCCCATTGGGTATGGTTAGCCAGCCTCTATTTTAGAACATTCCTACCTACTGTGTACACACATCTCTCTATTTTTCAAAAGCTCATAAGTATGTAAGAGTGTTCAGAGAATTTAAGTCAGAACATTTTAGAAGAATTTTCTGAGAATTTAATAAGAAAAAGGAGTTGCCCTATAGAAATTAACACTTGTTAGATTCAAATATGTTGAGTGCCTACCGTGTAGATACCAGGTCTTTAACTTGGGCAGTTAGAAGAATGGACTTGCCATTTACTGAAATGGAGAAGACTGTGGGAAGAGTAGGTTTGAGGAAGAAGATCAGGAGATTTACTTTGGTCATAGAAATTTCTAACTGCCTTTAGATATCCAAATGGCGATGTTAAGCTGGCAGTTAGATATGTGCATCTGGAGTTGAGAGAAGTCTGGGCTAGAGATACTGTTTTTTTTAGAGTCATCAACATCTTAATGGAATTAAAATTCATGACAACTGATGAGATCATTAAGGTATTTAGTAATACTGCTATTTATTTTATTACTACCCCTGCTTCCTTTCTCATCCACTTTCAAAGAGGTAGATAGTTTCTAGAAACCTGGCCCCTCTGCTCACTCACAAAGGGAGTAAGGGATCCCACTGAACAGGAACTTGGCCTATACAGGAAGGACTGTTAGTTGGCCATCCTGAAATTTTGCCATGGTGTAAAGATGAGAGTGAATTTTCCCAAGTACCTCCTTGCTGGAAACTGTTTGCACTGGAGGTAAGTGTGAAAGGGGAGGTTGTGGGGATTGAGGGGGTGAGGGCTTCCTAAACCTTTCCCAAACCTCAGGAGTGGCTTGATTCTGAGGAAGGGAGAAGGTTCAGACTGGTTCCTATTTCCCCGAACCAGTTTGTACAGCCCTAAATTTGACCTGCTTTCCTCAAACTGGGAGTCAGAAATCCCTTTTCTCTTCTGTTTTTCTGCTGCAGAAATTCCCAACATTCCCATTTTGTGGGCTCCAGAAAGGGGTAAGCGAAGACTTCAATCCCAGCCAACCATTTCCAGATTAATAATTTTTAGTGTTTTGATTTATTTTATCATCATAAAAAATGCTTGGACCCATTTATCCCATTTGTTTAATTTCCTTGTGGATTGTTATGTATCTATGTTTTAGGGTCATTTCGTATCCCTGGGCAATAGAGTTCAGATCCATCTGCTCTCTCCTTTTATGTGCTATTTCTCTTGTGGATTCTCATGTGCAGCTTATTGATGACTATTTCCTAGATGGAAGACATTCCATTCAGGAGACTGCTTCACTCTTAATCTCATCTTTTCCTGAATGGTGTTTTGTTCCCCTGCTGACAGCTTTCACTACCCTACCCAACTGCTTCTGATGATCTGTCATCGCTTCTCTGCTGTTCTGTCTTCCTGTTTGACTGCCTTTGATTTTTTGTCTCTACTTTTTGCCCCCATTACTTATCTGCTGAATGATTTGCGTTCTTCACTCACTGGTGCTTTGTCCATCAGCAAATGGCCTGGTACTACATATTCATCTGCTATTTTAGCATTTTTAGACTGCCCAACATTGTTTATCTGCTCTCCTACCATTCTCCTCTACCGTGGCCTTCCAAATGCTGTGCTGTCTGTCTTCCTGATCTTGCCCTACCCAGTCTATGCCTGTAATATTATAAGTAGGTTCGGATTGTTTAACACTTCTGTTACCTATCTCCACTTGCCTTGTGCCACTAAGTTGGACTGCTGACTGAATATGCTTGACTACTGTTCTTCTCTACCTATTTGCTGCACATGGCTGCCCAATTAGTTGACTTGAGACATTGCATCGCCTATGTACTCAGCCTTGCAACTTGCTGTTTGCAGCTTGCTGTTTGGTCCATACTGCCTCCTTTATACTTCTGTGCTAAATCACTGGTGTTGCTCATCTGTTGTTTTGTAATCCTAATCAGATTTTATTTCCAACAGAAGTGTTGCCTGCTTATTGTCCAAACATATTTTAGCAATGGAAAATCTTTTACTATTTAAGTCCAGTCCAATTTACTCCTAAACTGACTTAAATTCACTGCCACCATCCTTTCTGCTTTTTTATACAACTCCACATTCTTCCTTCTATTTAGGAATAGATTTTTCTTTCTAAATCGTTTATCATCTTTGCTTCAGTTGCCTTTTCATATCACATACTATGTGCTTTTTGTTCCTTGTATGTGGGATCTATCAGTAATTTTCCATATACTAAATTTGCTTTCTAATTTGTTTTCCCTGATTTTTTTCAGGGCTTCATGAAGATAAATTGCTCCTATTATTTTTATCCTTTCTAGTTAAGACCAGAATGATTTTTTGAAACTTTAAAGTACCGTCTCTAAAGATAATACATTTAATTGTCTTACAGTTCTTTGTAGGTGAGACTAAAGTAAATCTCCACTCTGCTCCATTTTTCCTGAGAATGTCATTTCTCCATGATTTACATACTGTCACTTAGAGATCCTTCTGATGTATTTATCTTTTCCTCCTAAATTTTAGATTATCTTTTCTTGTGTGTAGGTAAACTTTTAAATTGATATTAGTATTTGGCATCTAGAAAAAATTGAAATAAAAATTATCTGCATGTAAAGATTATTGTCTTATTCCTTTATATTTAAATGAATGACAAGATCAGACAAGAAGTAGAAAAGAATTATGAAATTTTCAGTTTCAAGAATCTAAGGAGATTTAAATTGGGGAGTGTTTACATGCATGCATGTGTGTGTATGTAGACTTGAAGTGTTCTATGTGCGTATGTATCCACATCATTGTGCATGAAGTGCGGAAAATGCTGAGTATCCATATTAAATTTTATTTTACTTTTCAAAAAATGAGAGGGAAAAGGAATAGGGGGAAGCTAAAAAGAGAGTGATAAACAGAGAATAGAGAAAAAGGTATGGATAGTTGGTTCTTCTCCTTTTTCTTTTCTTTTAGTAATAGAGGTAAGATTAATGTGAATCAAAGGACTGCTGTAGGAGTATCAAGAAAATTATTTCAGTAGATCTTTTTATTGTATAAAATACACACAACGTAAATTTTACTATTTTAATCATTTTTAAGTGTACAATTCAGTGGCATTAAATACTTTCACTACTCTGTATAGCCATCGCCACTATAGATTTCTAGAACTTTTTCAAAATCCCAAATAGAAACTCTGTACATTAAATTGTAATTCCCCATTCCTCCTTTCCACAACCCCTGTTAACCTCTATTTTACTTTCTGTCTCTGAATTTTCCCATTCTAGGTACCTCATATAAGTGGAATCATACAACTTTTGTCCTTCTCTATCTGACTTATTTCACTTAGCATATTTTCAGGTTCATTCATGTTGTAGCATATATCACACATTCATTCATTTTAAAATAATATTCCATTGTGTATATATACATTAGTTTATCTCTTCATCTGCCGAGGGACACTTGAGCTGTTTTCATCTTTTGACTACTAATACTTATGAACATTGTTGTGCAAGTACCTTTTTTCTTTTCTTTTCTTTTTTTTTTCTTTTCACCTTTTGGGTTTTTACTTAGAAGTGAATTCAGTAGCATTTAATACTTTTGTCTAAGGAGAAATTAAATTAGTAGCAAGGACATCAGGGAAACTACATCATTTACATGATACAACATTAGCATGAAAACAAGTCCAAGATACTTCATTATGAGTAGAAGAAATTATAAACTTTTAGAAAGGCCACAGAAGACCAAGTGAGATTTAGAAGACCCTCTGTTGTAAGAATAAAAGGGAGAAAAAATTGAAATAACACAAATGTTGGAGGTTTGAGGAAAGCAAAAGTGATTCTGGAGAAAGTTGAACTTAAAAAATATTTGAAATGAAATAATGCAGACTTTAAAAGAAGAGAAAAGTGTTTGAAAGGCAAGGTTGAAAGTTAATGGAACTGAGACGAGGCAACCAAGTTTTATGTATAGGGACCAGTAATGGGAACAGGAATTCAGTTCCATTCAGCTGCTCAGTCATGTCCAATTCTTTGTGACCCCATGGAGTGCAGCATACCAGGCTTGCCTGTCCATCACCAACTCCTAGAGCTTGCTCAAACTCATGTCCATCAAGTCGGTGATACCATCCAACCATCTCATCCTCTGTCGTCCCCCTTTCCTCCTGCCTTCAGTCTTTCCCAGCATCAGGGTCTTTTCAAATGAATCAGTTCTTCTCATCAGGCAGCCAAAATATTGGTGCTTCAGCTTCAGCATCAGTCCTTCCAATGAATATTCAGGACTGATTTCCTTTAGGATAGACTGGTTGGATCTCCTTGCAGTCCAAGGGAATCTCAAGAGTCTTCTCCAACACCACAGTTCAAAAGCATCAATTAATTCTTCAGCATTCAGTTTCTTTATGGTCAACCCTAACATTCACATGACTACTGGAAAAACCATAGTTTCAACTGGACAGACCTTTGTTGGCAAAGTAATGTCTCTGCTTTTTAATATGCTGTCTAGGTTTGTCATAGCTTTTCTTCCACAGAGAAAACAAGCAAACGTCTTTTAATTTCATTTCAATTTAGTGGTCTTCAACTTGAATACCTAGCTTTCTACCTAAATTGAACTCTGCATCATAGTGTCTTAGACTTTAAAGGAGTTAACAAAGATTGGAAAGGATTGTTCTTTGTCATCAAGGGGTTTAAAACTAGAGTAGTTAAAAATGCACTAATGATGGGTTTAAGAAAAAATACTTTCAGTCCTTTAAGTGGTAATGTTTTCCCTTGTTAACTCAGTAAATTTTTGGTGATTCTAGCCAAGGTTCTTCATCTAAATTATCAAACACAGAAAATGATTTGAGTGACTGTTGTCTCAGTTCTCTCAAGGGTGGTGTGTAAACTAATACTGTTTTATATGAATAAGAGAGAAATTAATTCAGTACATCTAACAGTTCTCTCAGAGTCTATTGAAAAAGGCTTAACTCTGTGCTATACAGCCGATTAGATGTCTGTAACACAAAAGGCCTTGCTCTCAAGGAACTTAGTTTCCAAAAGAGGGGAAAAGGCATTTGGCAAAACATGCATTTCTGATATCATCCACAAATTTGTGTTATTTTCTCCTAATTATTCAGGGAAAATGTTTGTAGTCAGAGTGGTTGCATATGAGGGAATCCTTTTGCCTCTTACAAGCATTATTGATTCAGGATTAAGAATGTCTCTATTTAATATCTTGTCACAGCTAAAGGATTCTGCTAATAGTTTAAATGCCAATAAGAATCTCTTTAATTTTAAAACTGTAGGGCCTTCAGTAACAGATTAGTGATTTGGTAGCTATTAATATACAGGGTTACCTAAAACCAAATTTATTGGTTTTATAGTGAAAGACTAGAGAATAGCTAGATAAATAGATAATCAGTGTTCAAGAGGTTGTTCTTGAATTAATTGCAAGAACAATGAGGGATTACCTCTGTAGATACAACTGTATACTAACACAGAAAATGTTTGTTAATTTAATTTATTCTCACTGTCAACTAAAGCTCACTTGAATTCTGGGTGTCAGGAATTTCAGTTGATATTCATGGTTTTCTTTAGGATTTGATTAAGTAGTCATTTGAACTTGGAATTTATTTGTCCTCCCTAACTTGATATGTGCCTTCAAACTTGAGAGCAATTATTTTCTTTCCTATTGGTCAGTACTTCAGTAATTCCTTTAAAGTAATCTCTTTAAAGTGCTACACTTAAGATAAGTTTTAGTGACCTGTTTTTTCTCCCAACCCCTGATGTCCTACTAAAGTTATTTATTTTGACAATACAGCTATGGGAAGATCAAAGTTCACATGTCAGGAGAAAAGCAGTAAAATAGAAATAACATCCAAATTTAACTTTTTTTTTTTTTAACAATGATGAACAATTTTAAAAGATTCTGCTTTACTTGTATTCATTATGAAAAATATATTTAGTGAAAAAAATAGATATTTTAAAGTATAAGATCTGGAATAAAGGAAAATATGACTAAATCATTTTATTAAGCTTGTTTTATTAGTAATAAATATAGTTTT